CAGTTGAATATTTTCTGAATTCTTTCCAAATGGCATGGAGGCATGGTAACACTCGTCTTCCTGTAGCCATGAGGGGCTTTATTTGTTGAGTCTTGGATATGGAGATGCTTGGTACACATTGACTCGGATTCCTCACATAGGGCTTGACTGCCCCACTGTCCTAAGTTAGGTTCCCGTCATGGCATGGGTAAATAGCAGACGCAGGACTCAAATCAAAAGCTCTTCCGCTCAAATCCACGCTACCACTTTACATTCTGACATGGGAGTTTTGATATGCAAAGTTCATACAATGGCACGAACCAGCCATTTGTCATAAAACATCGCTGAGTAACAGGTTAGCTCCGAAGAGCAACTTCACATAGGTTAGCTCCTAAGAGCAACTTCACGCTCTGCTTTGTTCTCACCAAAACGCATCTTTAGCGACGGTTTTCACTAATCCTAGGACTTGCCAGTAAAGGCTGGAGAAAGGGCTCAGGTGGTTAAGAGCACTTGCTGCTCTTGCAGAGAACCTGAGTTCGGTTCTCAGCACCAAATGGCAGCCAACAACCATCTCTAACTGCAGTTCTAGGGTATCTGGTGCCCTTCTATCCACCGCAGGCACCAGCCACACATATGATGAAGGCAAAGCTAAACATCAGGGTAAAACACAATTTGAAAAATAGTCTTGGCGGTTGTGCTTTTGTTTTGTTTTCTGAACAGGGTTTCCCTGTAGTTTTGGAGCCTGTCCTGGAACTAACTCTTGTAGACCAGGCTGGCCTTGAACTCACAGAGATCCACCTGCCTCTTCCTGGGATTAAAGGCTTAAAGGCGTTCACCACCACCGCCCAGCGGCAATCTTGCTTTTGTCTGTATCTTTGGGTCAGTTCAATATTTGATCTGCTTAAGGGAATTTTCTATTGCCTAGTTACTATGATTACCTCTTAACGTCACGAATTTCCTGAATCAAGCAGATTAAAAATTGTTACTCTATGGGATAGTGGACCCTCTTCTCACCTTTGCTAAGCCAGATTTGTTCACAGAAACTACTGAGTAACTCCAGTAGATGGCTCTAGCGCTGACAATTTTTGTTCAAGTAGCCCAACTGGTCAGAAATCTTAGTCTTGGGGCTAAATCTTTCAAACTCAGGTGGGAATTGTGCTTAAGATGGGACTGAGACCTGAAGGTGGAGATGGTGTGTCCCCTGCATCCTCAGTAACGTCAATGCCTCCAAGTCTGCTTTTATACTCATTTTTTCATATAGAGTTGAGTGACAGGAGTTTGAGATGCCACATTCACTTCCTGAGCAAAGCTTTAAAAAAATGTGCTTTCTTTAAGTTTCCTTCCTTTTCAGGAAGGAAAAGTCAGTTTTAACTAGATATAGGTCAGTGAGCCCATGATACTCCTCTGTAGAGATCTATTCTTAAGTTGGGCACCTCTAGGCCAGCCTGAGCCACAGTAAAAACTCCTCTCAGGAAGTTCTGAGCTCAGCTTTGGTGTAATTTGAGGGATTCTGTTTGAACCAAATTTACAATTTCCAGCAATCCTATATAGAGGGCCTAATGATCTCTATTCAGAAACACTTGCGTCAGGCCATCGTCAGTCTGGGCTTTGGAGAAACATCCTTCTAAATGCATCTTTCCCTGTTCAATACAATTTCTATATTCTTGATTTACACAGAAGGAAATGAGAAAACAATCCTAACGTCATGCTATCTCACTGTGAAAGGGAGACAGCAAGGACAGGAGACAAGGATCTCCAAGTGTTTGATGCAGGTCTTCCTGACCCAAGCTTCCTTCTAGGTCAGAGGGCAGTTCATAGTGGTGAAAGACTACATGTGTGTTATCTGAGTTATACTTGACATGTATTCAAGGTTACTCCATAGTCAGTCTGTGAATAAGAAAGCTAGCCCAGCTTGAATCCAGATGGGAATGAATTTTAAATACCAATGATCTTTAACTTTATCTGGAAATGGTAGGCACGTTTTTTTTTTTTTTTTTTAAGCATGCTAATAGCTCCTCAATGTGTGTCAATACGTCTGCAGATCTAAGATACTACAGGTCAGCAGTGAACTGTCTCCTTGCCCTAGATGCTTAGGGCACACCCTAAAGTTTTGGATTGTGATCATGACTCTTCAAAGGACTCCAACACCGATTGGCCGAAATGTTAAATGTTATTACACTGAACACCTCATAAAGGTTTAAAAAAAATTCTTCAGGTCTATTATGGTGCACAAATGCTGTTAGTAACTTAATGGCCTTGATTTTGAGTCTGTGGTTTCAGAATTATCAAGTCTTTGTTCATTCAGAAACCTGGAATAATCTGACTACAGCCTTTGAATCCAAATTGTAGCATATTCTCAATAAACCAAACTTTGAGGCATCTAGAGAACTTAAACATGCCTAGAAAACCATTTTCCAGCTTCTTCCCTGGGTGATGGGCTGTTTTCAAAGGCCACAATATGACGTCAGCAGAAACATGCCTGAAGCGTTATCATTAGAGCTGCCTTGTGAACTGTGGGGCTGTTTAACCACTCCCAGTTACAACCGTCATCTAGGCGCTAGGCATGTGAGGACCTCACTAGCCAGCTCTCTCTGCCCTCAACCTCCTCCTGCCGTCCCTGTAACAGAAAGACTGCAACCACCTGATCCTTGTCTACTAACAAGGATCAGCCTCCTGGCGGTCACAGGTGAGGGCTCAGTGAGCTTAGTGCTTGGCATAGGCTTGTTTGGGAACGTGTTCTGTCGCTTCCGGGGCTTCCTGGTCATCGCCAGAACCTCAAGAGTCACACAGCCTAAAATGGCTTCAAGCAAACAGCCAGCATGCTAATGACACCCAAGAAGGAAAGCATTTCGGCAACACATGTCACAGCCTCTGTAAATGGAAACTGTGGTGCTCGTTTGTACTACTGGACTGCACAGCTTAAAATATATCTAGATGGCTAGTTAACCTGCAAACCATGCTCTAAATATCTAGATGGCTAGTTAACCTGCAAACCATGCTCTAAATATCTAGATGGCTAGTTAACCTGCAAACCAT